ATTTTCAATTTGGCCTCAAAATGTGATCAGCTGCTCTGAAAGAAATTTTAGGTGAACTGTGCGGCCCCTGAGCGGATACAATTGAAGAGCGGGTCTTTTAGTAATTTCAGATATTATATCAAGATTAGGTGGGCATATAGGCCTAATTCATCTAAGGGTCCGTAAGCACACATGGTCTCTGATACTTTACATTAGTTGCAGAATTATGCAAGTACAGCCCTCTGGGACACCCCTATTAAGGGGACACTTTTCTGTGGAATGAGGGGAAATATATATTTTAACACTATACGGCCAACACCTATTAAGGGGACACCCTTATTTAAAAGGCGACCGGGGACAATTTATGACGAGTGTGCCAAATATAAGGGACACAACACCTACAGCAGTCTGAAAGTAAGAAAAATTCATTCAACTTCATATATATTAACGCCTTTGAGCATAAACCAGAATTTTCTCCCCTGAATCGTAAACGTTGGTGTAGGCCTACTGAATGTGTTACTTCATATAAACTAATCTTTGTCAATTTTGACCATTAACCATGTTTCGTTTCCTTTTTTTTTTCGTGTACTTTTATACAGTAGGGTTCTAATACATACCACAACATGCCCTATTAATTCCTATTAAGTCGTTACTGTTCATGCTACATTCATCCAATAGAAAACAATATTTTAAATAAAAAGGAATATTTGGTCATTAACATTGCATGATGAAATAATATTGGGAACATTCTATTATTATTTTATTATTTATAGGCCTATAGTATCATTCATGCATACAGCGCCTTTTCTTTGAGATAAAAAGTATTTTTCCCTTGTCATTGATTCCTCATGTTTTAAGCGTCGTTGCTGGTAAACAAGAAGTAGGCAACCCCACCAAGTACCCATTTATACTCCTATGTGGAGAGAACCCAGGCAGTGATGATTTATTAAATTGGGAGGGCATAACATGTACCATACAGGCCTGTATGGTCTTCCTACGAGTCCGACAAGACAGGTGATTACAAGAGGAATACCATTACAAGATGTGCAATGTAGATAAAGTGCTTCAAGGACACAAGCAAAATGTACAATACAGCGAGACACTGAAACCCCGACCTCCAGGTTGGGAAACAATACCGTTCCCGCTACACCAAACCGCTTCTACAACATATAAAACTATTGTTGTTTTGATTACATTTGTCCTGATTTCATATTATAAATGAATTGTATTTGCATTGAAAATGGTTGCTATAAATTAGTTATAATTCTACTTAGCTGATTCTTATGTCAATAAAAATAAAATTATACAGAATTTATGTCATCATTGTATGAAAACATGCCAAAAACCACGATCAAGGGGACAGTTTTGCGTTTTTGGTTAGTATCCCCTGAATTAGGGTATATTCAGGGGACACCCCTATTAAGGGGACACTTTTTTTAGTCCCGAAGGTGTCATCTTAATTGGGGTTCTACTGCATTTATAATCACGTAACATTCGAGGGCCTTCATTCAGTCTGTTACCGGTGTATATTCATCCAGTCTGTTTTATTATCTTGAATATTTCAAAGTAAACACCATAGGAGATCCTACTGATAAAATGGATATTAACCATGTTAAAGAAGAAAGAGACCTGGGAGTACTTTTTGATGCTTCACTGATATTCACCAATCACGACGTAGCAGATTTTGCCAAAAAAAGCAAATATGAAACTAGGAATAATTAAAAGATTATTTACATCTGGATGAGTTCAGCCTACTTCAACTATTTAAAAGTATAGTCCGCCCATCTCTTGAATATTGTTGTTCAGTTTGGAGTCCCATATTTCAAAAAGATGAAGATAGGTTAGAAAAGATCCAACAGAGGATCCAACTAAAATTTATCAACTATACGCAACCTTGAATATCCGGAAAGATTGAAGTAGGCCTACCAACATTACGGTATAGAAGACAACGCGCAGACATGATCCAAATCTTCAAAATAATGCGAGGTATCGATAATGTTTATGTAAATAAATTCTTCGTTATGAGTGAAGTATTGCCTACAAGAGGACATCAATATAAAATACATAAACCACATGTAAAGTCAAAAGCAAGACAGAATGTTTTCTTCATCAGAAGTATAAATTGTTGGAACTCGCTGCCCAGTTATGTAATAAATACTCAAACTTAAACCAATTCAAGTCTCAATTAAAAAAGCACTGGTCTGACCATCCATTGAAATACAGCCCGTACGTACCTAAGCAGATGTTTAGCAAATCAAGAGGGGCACAAAAGCTTTAAGATCCAGGTAAACATAAACATATTTCGTTGATACGGTTAGTTGTAAGAACAAGTTGTAAATTTCTTGTGAAGCAAATTGTTAAATACAACTGTCACGTAGTGTGTCTTACGTTACGCGTTTTTTAAATATTTATTACAGAGAGTATAGCTCTTTTGCATTAACAGTATTGCATAGGCCATACAGATACAATGATTTCAAAGTAAACACAAAAGATGGTGATCTATTTATGTTATGCAACTTGTTTATTTTGTTTTGTATGTGTTTTCTTAAATTAGACATGAATATTTTTTTTTATTAAAATTTTTTTTTTTAATACTATCTATGATCGATGAAATCCTTCGCGTTAAACCTCGTCTGTCGTAAAGCAGACAGTGATGGCGCCACTGGACCAATTATATGGGCATAATTTGCGAAGTCCTAGCTTCGCAGCATGCTCAAAATGTGTACTATAAGGATGATTATGAATAATTCCTGAGATTTTACCAAACTAGTATACGTTAGTGGAATGACACATAATTATCAAAGAAAGAAACCTTTAAATTTTTGGAAGAAGGGGTCAAAACACAATGTTAATGTCACGGAAGTTCGATTTTTTACCCTTTAGCATAGAATAAAATAATTGAATCGCCCCTTCCATTTAGGCAGCATTCAAGAAAATGTTGTTTTTCATCGAGGTAAAACGTTATTCAATTTTTTTCAAGGCAAACGATGATACTCCATTTAATGTACAAGCAAAGATGACAATAGCAATCAACTAAACAGGGACTTTGAATGTGTGTCATGCTTTGTTTCCAATAATACGGTCTCACGGAAGGTATTTTATATTTTATTTAAAACATATTAGGCAGGATAACACAGCAATATGGTCCTGCAATAATACCGTACAATAAACAGCAAATAAGAAGGCAACCAATACATTATAATATAAAATACAAATAGTAAAACTGGTGGAAAACTATCTCCCGCCGGACACCATCCCGGTATTTCTGATTCGTCAAGGTTTCGGGACCGGGATTACAGTTTTTAACTTAACTACAAAACTTAACAAACAATGATAAAAACTATCTCCCGCCGACTACTATCTCGGTATTTCTGAGTGAAGGTTTCGGGACTGGAATTTGTTTAGCTGGTATTGTTTAGAATTAATTTGCATTTGATTAATTGATAGTGATTCATGAGGAGGATGTATTAAGTTTACATTATCTAACATAAATAATTTTAATAATTAAGTATACTAAATTGAATTGGAGTCGGTTAAAAATTACGAGATACGAGAAAGTTCGTTATCTTCTGCAATACAAAATAAATGGTATACATAATTAAAAAGATATAGTAATAGGTATGCTTTTGCTTGTTGCATACTTTTAAATATATACGTAGTCGTAGGTCTGTATACCATATATTTATATACAGCAGAATATCATGGGTTAAAGTGCCTACTGGGGCAACTTCTTTGAGGTCGCAAATTCCTGTTTTTTATTGAGTTAAGTGATTCCGTCTAGTGGTTTTTATGTGCTTACGAAGAGGGCGTATCTTATTGATCTATGTTATTTGCAGTGTCTTGAGAATTAGTGTTCTACGCATTTGCTGAAGAGTGTGTGCAATAATAATAATAATAATAATAATAGTTACTTGGTACCTTACAAATAGAATTTCCAGCAAAAGCCCTTAGTAAGAAATCTGCATAGACACGAGAAGATCCCGGATTCGAATCCCGGTTGTGGTAACTGTTTCCCATAATTTCAGAATCTTTTTCATTAAAGAAAAACGTTAAATATACACATAATATATATTATTTAAATGCTTTTACAGTAATTTATATGTATATATATATAC